AACTTTCAGGGGGCCATACGCGTTACCCGTGGGTACGGGGAAGCTGAATTTAAATTTGCGGGGTCATCCCTAAGCTATAAATACAGGCAATGTGAGGTGTGATTAAGGTTAGGAATCATGTATGTTGTCTTAAATCACGTGGATGTGCGCAGGAAATTATGAGCCAGATCTCGATAAGATCAAGTTTAATTTCGATAGCGATAGTAAATGGTATTTGCTTCAAGAATCTAAAAGCATTTCAGTAATATCACTAATATGAAATTCCTAAATCACTTGATCAAATGATCAATAATATCTCGAAGGTTGCCCTCTTTACTGTGGGGTTGCCGCAGGTTTGAATGATTTTGGTGAATTTCCTTTCAGCTTACACTCTCAGGTCTTAAATTGTAGCCCCCGGCCTCAAAACAGCACGTAGGTTACCCGATGTCCAAATACCCATCTTACCGCAACAATGACAGTGATACTCTGCGCAACCACTGTAGAGTCATCAGCAGCTTTCCGAGCAAGTTATTGTTGGCATTTTGCTGCATTGTTTTAAATTCCACTGTAGAGCTTGAATGTAGAAGAATTCAATATTTTACTTATTCATGTTTTGACGTGAGCTAATTTACCACATCGGGAGCGTCGATTGTTATGTTTTGCAGGATGCCAGGAAACGACTTGGCACTGTGGGCCTGCCAGGTCCTGTTCATACAGTTAAAATCAAAGATTTATCTGGTGGCCAAAAATCACGTGTGGCTCTTGCAGAATTAGCCCTGGGAGCGCCAGACATGCTAATTTTGGTACGTTTATTTCCGTGCTTTTCATGTCAAGGAATTGCGTCTTTCGTTAATATTTATTCGGTCCGTCATACGCTGGACAGGACTACTCTTTTTCCACTAATTTCTGATCTTTCCGAAGCAAATTTTTCAGGACGAGCCGACAAATAATCTAGATATTGAGTCCATTCATGCATTAGCAGAGGCTATTGAGAGTTTCGGTGGTGGTGTAGTGATGGTCACTCACGACGAGCGCTTAATTAGAGAAACCAGTTGTCAGTTGTGGATTGTTGAAAATCAGGTTTGTTTTAATCACAATTTTCTGTTACATTTATATTCCCGACTGGCGTAATACAGTAGAAAATAAGGTTGTTTTCGTGCCACAGGTTAAGATTTCGACTAAGGAAGGGAGGCAATTAATCAGTGTGAGTTTCGTTCATTTTTTGGCGGTAAATTGGTACCAGGGACTCAAAATTGCTATCGGT